TTAAATGTACCGAAACCAACCTGTGCAAAATAACCGTACCATAATAGGTTCCGTCCGAACACATTCCATAACCAAATGTTGTACATCCTCAGGAGTTCCACACACTTCGCAAAGATACGAACAGCTTAGGTTAGACTCTATTTGATTGGCCGATACAATGCATTATCGGATGTTTTCGAAAGCTCTCGTGATAATTTCGTACCATTATAATATCCAGACATACTTTTCTGACGCTTTCTTCCAAATGTATTCACGTGACAACCTCGTGACCCATTGGTACTGTGGGTGCTAGATGAAAGAATTTCAATTCTTGTTAAGGTAGTGTTACTACACAAAGGTAACAACCTTTCCGAAATTTGAATAGACCAGACAAAAAGCCTAACATTATAACAAAATAAAATCAAAAATTGCTCTCTCTCGGCAGCAGATATGTGTAAGCGCACTAGAAACGAAGTTCGGGTTGTAAATCGAGTTTTATTCAATTTTAATAATATTATTTCAAAATACCTACTATTCCTCATTCGAACCCGTCTAAAAAGACTGATCGGCGCGGTATACGGTATGTGTAGTTGTAGAAGAAAGCGGGGACGGGGCTAAAGCTGCGCGGGACAAGAGTCTGTTGTTATTTTGTGGCCAGTTGGCAATAAAAATCCTGTTATTATTCGGTGCAGTAAGTGAGCATCTACGGAGTTGCGAGGTGGATATTTCATTTTTAATTCTGAATATTGTTTTTTTAAGTGAAGGGAAGAACTAGTCGTACGCCTGGTGGTAAGTCACATCCCTGTCCATAACAGTTGCTGTGCCACTCAGAGCTTTAAATAACAACGATTTGATGGGCACTGCCTCTGCGCCCATCGTGAGACATAAGTTGACAAGTTTCATGTGCCTGTAATTTAACCAGCACCCTTACCCTTCAAAACCGAAACGCAGTATGGCTCACATTACGGCTTGCGGCAAAAAATAAGTAAGATGGCATTACTTCCCTAAACGAACTCTTTCACAAGGAGCTCTAGTGCTACTGTAATTGCACACACAACAACAGGCACATGGGACTTGTCAACTTATGTCTGAGGGTGACGGGCGCAGTGGCAGTGTTCCTCAGATCTTTGTGATTTAAAGAGCTGAGTGACACTGCAACTGTTATTGACAGGCGTGTAGCTTACCATCAGGCACACGACTTGTTCGTCCTATCACTTGATATTATAAAAAATATATATAAATACCTACCCTAAGCCCAAAAATCTGGATAAATGACAAATTCGAACAGAAGGTCACAAAACCGCACATATCCGGAAAGATGGTAACCCTATGTTAGAGGCAATTTGTGTATTCAACTTTTCGAAATTAACCTTGATCTGAGTGTAATGTATGTGTATGTGTGCCCTGAATTTAATTTCATTGCTCTGGTACTCATAGTATGGGGCATTTCCTAGTTTGGGCTGAGAACAACAGAATTCCTTTCTCTGCATTAAGATTTCTTCGTTTTACTGTGGTACCTCATTAACAGTGAATAGCTAAATGAATTAAATGGGCAGTACTGAACATGTACTTAAGATTAATGTTATGAAGTCCAGAAGTTACCACGTCAATACGATAGCAATAGAGCTTGCATATAAAGACATAACGTACGACAATTTCTCACGGCATTTTCGCAAGTTATAATACGAAACCTGGTTTGACGAAAAACCAGATTAATCTAGGAAATAATTCGAATAGAGATGTCAAAAAATCTTTTGTCAGCATTATTTACAAGAACTTATTTACAAATTAATAGGTCAATGTCTTTAACCTTATTATACGAAGTTGTAGAGTCGCACGCTTCGCTACTGTGCGGTGTTGTAAAACTTCAGGGACAAATCCAATTAATTACTAGCACCTTTTGTTTTACGAATTGAAAACTCGACAAAGTTTTAATTATACCTTAACACGTCGAATAGATCGAATATTTCGGCGGAACATTCGATCTCATCTTTCAAAGGTTAGGCGTAGTGTTGATGCGCACGGCAAAAGGCTGGAATACATTGACGGCTGTTTGCTAAAGCTACAATTTAGGGCTATTTGAAGCTAGAGTACATGATTATTCAATCTATTTTAGTAGCATTCGAGCTTCTTGTGAAAGAGTTCGTCCAGGGAGGTACTACTAACTAACCTTACCGATTTGCGCCGCCAAGCAATCATGTGACCTATACTGCGTGTCGGTTTTGAAGGGCAAGGTTGCTAGTGAAATTGCTTGCACATGGTACTCGTTCAACGTGACGGGCGCAGTGGGAGTGCCCTTCAGATCTTTGCGGCTTAAAACTCTGAGCGGCACTACAACTGTTATGGACAGGCGTGTCGCTTACTACTAGGCGCACGACTTGTTCATCACTTGGTGTTGTAAAAAAATATGATAGTAATACATGGGTGCGGTTCGTAATATATAGCAACAAATATTTTTAGTCGATATAACACTCAACATTATAATTAATATAATTAATTTATGGTATACAAACATTTAACATACTCTTGCATGATATAAAGGTCACTGGGTATAATACATAGGGCGCACTATAAGTTTGCGGAACTGGCCACTTACATAAACAATATTTAAAAAATTAATTACAACATTTGGAAATGGAATTCTTTGACTGTAGAATACAGTTTGTTTCATCTAACTGTCACTTGTTTTTACATTGTGGCGTCATTTTGGACATTGGTTGTCTACATCACCATGGATTTAAGTCGTGAAAATTTTCGTAGTATGATGTTCTACGACTTTAAGTGTAACTTAACAGCTCAGCGGAGCTTCCCTCGGCTTCAAACTACTTTTGGCGAAGAAGCACCATGCAAGACGACTATTTATGGCTGGTTTGCAGAATTCAAACGCGGTCATATGAATCTCAGTGACGAATTTCGTCATGGTCGCCCGTCCACTGCTGTGAACAACAAAAACATTGATGCTGTGCGCCGTATGATCAAAACAGACATGTATGTGACATACCATGAGATTCGGGTATCTTTAGGCATAGGCATGAGTCATATACAATCTACAAAAACATTAGGGTGTGAAAAAGCTGTACTCTCGATGGATTCCACACAATTTGACTGAGGCTCAAAAAACAGATCGCGTCCTTTGGTGCAATGCCATGCTTACCAGACTCAACGAAGGGGCGTCAAATTTGGTGTGGGACATAATAACAAAAGAAGAAACATGGATTTATTGTTACGATCCCAAAACAAAGCAGCAATCGAGCGTATGGATCTTTCCAGATGAGCCGAAACCAACCAAAGTGGCGCGCGTGTGAAGTGCCTCTAAGCTAATGATTGCTTCTTTTTTAATAAAACTGGACACGTGGCTACTGTTGCTTTGGAGAATCGTTGTACCATGAGTAGTGATTGGTACACGACCATTTGTTTGCCGGAAGTTACTGACAAACTCCGTAGAAAACTCAAAAACTCAAAACTCCGTAAACGCCGTATCATCTTGCACCACGATAATGCCAGTTCTCACACGGCCAGACAGACAAATGAATTTTTGAAGGTGAACAACATTGACCTTATAAGCCATCCCGCGTACAGTCCCGACCTGGCACCTTGTGACTTTTTTTATTTCCAAAAATTAAGAACCAGTTACGCGGTCAACGATTTTCATCACATGAAGAGGCGTCGAAGAGAATGAAAAATATGTTTCAGAGATTGTCACCGAGGAGTGGCATAAATGTTTTCAAAATTGGTTCATTCGTATGAAACTGTGCATTAACTCTAACGGAGAATATTTTGAGAAACAATAAATTCATTTCTGACCATTTATACCTAGTATTTTTTTCTTATTCATTCCGGAAACTTGTAGTGCGCGCCACGTAGACGATTGTTATAACAACTTTTAATCTAATATACTGATGGCATAATGTACAGTTTATATAAACACTTCAGATATAACATTCACAGTATAAATGAAATAAATAAAACTAAATAAATAAATAATTCCCGGTCAATTTAGGTGCAATGGTGAATGAACCGAATTTGTTTACTTTTGCTGGTTGGTTCAACCTCCTCCTGTGGGTTTAGGTTAGGTTAGTAGGTATATGACAAATCTGCACGAGCGAGCCGAGTATGTCGCGGCAGCGGCCGGCGAGTGCCAGAACCGGATTTGTTTGCATTTGCTAATTGGTTCGACCTCCGCCTGTTAGGTTAGTATATGCAATTAAATATTGTGCTTAAGTTTTAATAAATATATTTTATTACACAAAAAGCATTTAACAGATTGTACATTTTAATGAAATAAAAACAATCTTATCAACATAATATGAGGCGCTTCAACTATTCGTAAAACGAAATAATACTTATAAATACCATTTGTTCTGTTCATTATGTCACCTAATCATTGTATCTAATGTTTGTTATACTGAAGTTTTATTATACACATTGAAATTATGTCTTTTGTTGTTATACGTTTTGTTGATTATATACAGTGAGTGATTATATCCTTAGCAATTATATCAAATGTTGACACACAAAGTGTAAATAGATTATTTGTTGTTATATCTTCCATTCCACACCCAGTAATACATAGTATATATGTATATTAAATTCGTATTTAGTGAGCATTTGTTGCACTCTCGATTAATAATTACCTTTAAGTTTGTCCTATAACCAGGAAGTTGCCTGAAATAGATCGCTATCTGGCAATGAGGCCGCTTGTTGTATCTGTCTTTTGTGTTTTTTTGTTTGTTATATAATTGTTCTTGTGTACATTAGGCAGAACCTTGATCTTGAAGCTTGAAATGACGTCCATAAGTGTTGTGATGAATGAACTTATTAGTAATTGGGACTTGTCAACATATGTCTCTGGGTTACGGGCGCAGTGGCAGTGCCCCTAAGATCTTTGCGATATAAGCTCTGAGTGGCAGTACAACTGGACGACTTGTTCGTCCCGTCACTTCGTATATAAAAAAAAGTTTTTGTCCAAATATATTTCATAAGAGTACAACAATTTAGTAAGATTTCTTTTTTTTCCGCAGTACGAGTACAAATACGACGTCGAAGACCAAGAGAAGTCTCTCTATTTCGGTGCAAATGAGGCAGGCGACGCCCAAGGTAAAGTCATTGGCGGCTATAGAGTATTGCTCCCTGACGGACGCCTCATGTCCGTTGAGTACACGGTAGAAGGCGACAGCGGTTTTGTACCGAAGATAAGCTTTGAAGACAACGCCAATCCCTTCGGGAAAGGAAAGTAAGACTGCCAGTACAATTGATAGAGAATTACGTATTTTAGTTTAATGCCGCTTGCCTATAAATGTTAGACAAATCGCACCCTTGGTGTAATAGGGCCACATCTGCAAAATTATGACTTTTCAGGAGAGGTTTAATGATTCTAAGAAGGAAATTTGCCGATAACTTTTTTGATACTTAAACAAAAATTTCACACATATATACATAATTTGTTTTATGTAGTTCGTATTATTTTCATGGCTTTCATGTGATGTCAATAGCGATTTTTATTATGCCGAGGGTACGAAATGTTAATTTTGTGATATACATAAATAAAACGGTCCATGCCAGCCTGAGTAGTTAAAACAGAATGAATTGAGGGCTGTTTCTCATTCAAATTGATTGTATTGTTCATGTTTCCTAAATTCATATGTTTTTTCGGTAACCCATATTAGTAAGTTGACGCCAAGTGAAAGTTAAAATGTATAAAATGCAACGTAAAAGTCAAGGTTTTGTAAATAGTGGCGTATCTCAGAAATACCTAATTTACCTGTATTAAGAAAACCTGAGGCATAGGTAATTGGCGCACAAAGTATGTACTTATTATATCATCCCAGTGTTGCTACACGATTATTTTAACAATTGGAGAGCTTAGTGGTTTATTCCGAATGAAATTCAGCACATTCTGAATATACTTGTAATTGTAAATAATAAGTTAAAAATTGACTATTTTGATTTTGGCCACTATTCATGAAAAGGCGCAATACGTATTTATGTGTAAAATAGAGTCTTAATTACGCCTTTACTGAGATCGATTTTTTATTATATAGGCACTGACCACTATCAAACGCATGCCCTTTTTCTCTGCGGTCGAGCAAAATTTTTTTGAAATAGATGGAACAAAAAGACTCTTATAAAAAAACCACGGTATGTTATGAGGCGATGTTAATTCCAAGTTACCACTACTGTGATTATTGTATGCATAGAAGATATTTGTAGGCCATTATTGCCATTAGGATAAGTATACTATACGATATTTACATTTAGTAATAGTGTTACTCGCATGTAGATTTTGTATGCAATAAATATTTTTCTTACCTACTCTATCTTTGTCTTACATAGATCAGCACTATGGATATTTCACGGCGGTAAAAATGGAATTCCAAATTTGAAAATTCAATTTTGATTATAACAAAAAAATCCCTGCAGTTAACGGATTATTCCAGCCTTTCCCAAAGTGAGCGATAACGCCCTCTTGTGGGCGCTGCAGGCCTAAAGGGCGGTAAGAGACCCAGAAAAAAAATGGGGGCGTTGTGTCGAGGCTTAGGGGGAGATTTGTAATTTTATCTAGGAAGACTCTTAACACCGACTGAGCTCTCGACTCTCGACTACAATTTGTTAACATCAATTTGCTCAAACTAACTCGATTCGATATTTCTGTCCGTGTAGTTCATGTATTCGTCCTGTTTTATTGAATAAATAAAATAAAAATCATGTCAATCGGTCGCTCCGATTCAAAATGAAAGTAGACACAAACAAATAAATAAAAAGGCAACAGACACAGAGTCGCATTTTAATAGTTATTATTATTCCTGGATAGGTAATTTTCGTAGATAATAGACCGCGGGCAATCATGTTTTACAAGGTTTTGTTAAATAACCCGATTTGTGCATTCCTGTATCAATCGGTTGGTTCATAGAATACTTGTTCTTACTTGTTGAGTACGATTGAGCGTCGAATGAGATAAACGAGTTTATGGATGTTTGTCTCATTCCTATCGGTGCGTGCTGCTTATGTGATCCAAGGTAAACAACGTAATATTTATTTTATTTTCATTTGCGGTTTCGCGCGTAATAGATAAGCAGTACTTAAGTTCAACACTTACCTACGTATGTCTCAAAACAAAACAATGTCGGAAGTAAAAAAGAAGAGACGGCAATACTGTGCGGAATATATTAAATTCGGATTCATTGAAAATCCCACACACCCATCGTCGCCCTTGTGCCTTCTATGTCTAAAAACATTTTCGAATGAAACAATGAAGCCTTCAAGACTGCAAGATCATTTGAATAAAATGCATCCAGATAAGAAAGACAAGAATGTAGCATATTTTCAAGACCTACAGAAGAAGCATAATACTCAGCCAAGTGTAGCAAAACTCTTTTCAGCGGCTGCTAAGCAAGATGACGACGGACTTCTAGCTTCGTGCAATATCTTTTTGTTAATTGCTCAAAAAGGCAAACCACACAACATCGGAGAAGAGTTAATTTTGCCAGCAATAAAGAAAGTAATAACTGCTGTGCTTCATAAACTGGCCGCAGATATTATCCGAAAAATTCCTTTGAGTAATGATTCTGTGCAAAGACGAATTGATGAAATGGCTGAAAACATTGAAGAATCATTGTGCAATCATCTGAGGACTAGTCAATTCTCAATTCAGCTCGATGAGTCCACTTTCCCAACTAATGAAGCGTTGTTGCTGTCTTACGTGAGGTTTATTAAAGATGAGAAAATATGTGAAGAAACTATTATTTGCTAGAAATTTAGAGACAGATACAAAAGGCGAAACCATATTCAATACATTGGAAAAGTTTTGTGATGAGAAAGGATTCCCTTCAAAAATATTATATCAGTTGCTACGGATGGCGCTCCGGCTATGATAAAGGTTTCATAGCGTACTTAAAAAATAACATAACAGATGTCCTTGCTGTACATTGCGTTATTCATAGACAACATTTGGTTGCTATAAATTTAAATGAACGACTATTTCAATCACTGCAATATGTCATCAAAGCCGTCAATAAAATTCGTAACAGCTCTTTGAATGATAAATTATTTCATCAGCTTTGTGTTACTAATGACGAAGATTTCAACCGTTTGTTGTTTCATATTGAAGTTCGTTGGCTATCAAGAGGCAATTGTCTGACTGGATTTTACAACCTGTTTGACTCTGTGATAGAGTTCTTAGAAACTAAAGATACAGAATTGTGCAACAAGCTCATTACATCAAAGAACGATATAGCTTACATGACAGACCTGTATAAATTGTTCAACGATATGAATATCCAACTGCAAGGCAATGAACTAAATTTAATTAAAACAAAAAATGTCGTTGCTGCTTTCGCAGCCATACGCTTCTACACAAAAAGAATATGGGCAGACGTGAGTTTCACAATTTTCCGAATTTATCAATATCCTGCAGTAACGACGACTTGTTTGCCTACTGCCAACATTTGGAAAACCGCCACATTGACTTCACCGAACGATACCTGGACATTTTGAACTTGGAAATACCAGACTGGGTGTTGGATCCGTTTTCAAATGTCAACACAGCAATATCACCTCAGCTGGAAGAAGAACTTATTGAATTGACAACGAACGAGGAAATAAAAATCAATTCAAAAATGGCTACCAAGGATTTTGGCTACAAAAACCGATCCCGCAATTGTACCCTGGATTGTGGTCAATCGTTCAACGATTCTTGATAGCATTCCCATCGTCATATTTGTGTGAACGTGGTTTTAGTGCTGTGACAACGCTGCTTACTAAAAAGAGAAATCGTTTGCATGTTACCGAACGTGGTGACTTGCGGTTGTTCTTGAGTAAATTGGAACCTGATATCAACAAACTTATTAAACAGCATCAGATTCATCCTTCACATTAGTTTTTATATTAGAATCGATTATGTTTCTTTTATTTTAAATAAAAGATACTCTGTCTGCATACCATAAAGTTGCGTTTCAATAATCATTCTCATTTGCAGGTGTAGCCTGTAAGAGTTAACTTGAGACCTGAGCGTCGTTGTGTACTACCTACTGCGCTCAGGTCTCAAGTTAACTCTTGCGGGTTATAGTAAAAGTCTCGTTTAGAATGAATGTTTAATCTCCGCTAATATAGCTATCAATAATTAATTTAATTTGAAGTTATAGTGGTTTTTAAGTAGGTGATAAAATGGGGGCGCTAAAAAATAATTTATTCTCAAAGTGGGCAGTAGACAAAATAAGTTTGGGAACCCCTGGACTATTCGATAGCAGCTTTTGGCCATTTAGAGATGCTCCTGCAATAATTAATTACGCGTAAACCCATAGTGGGTTAGAGATGTCATTGTGTCTTTGTAAAGTTTTGTATCCCTTCGACATGTAGGTTTCTACTAAATATTTTTCTCTGCCGCAATAATATCATTGCAAGTTAATGAACTAGACCCAAATGCAAGTTGGGATTTCTAATCATTACCATCGTACCTGACAGTCTAGTAACACACGCATCATTTATTTCGTATTTTGATGTTCATCGATATAGTACAGTCAAGAGCACGTCAAGGTTGAGTTGCATAGAGTTGGATTTAAGTCTTAAGTGTCAAGCTTGACGTGCTCTTCACCCTGTACCATGTTTATATATTTTTAAAATATTTAACATAATGTACAGAAAAAATTCGTATAACCTGAAAAATTTACAAAAACTTGAACCGTTTAGCATGAAGAATTGTGTTTTTATTTCGCCCGTTATGAACCTTGATATTTTGATACTAAATAATGTGACGGGAAATTGATAAACAATATTCCCAGATGTAAGTTTCTAGATCGTGTTTACTGATTTATAAATAAGTTAGTATTCAGATAGGTCCAAACTTAATATTGATCTCGTTGGCAGGATTGTCTTCTGAAACGTACAAACTGAAATTCATTACCTTATCGCAAAGGCGCGTCATAATAACGGCTGTGGCCTCTGTGTCAAACTGCGGCCGGCCCGCGCGGCCTACCATCTGCAGCACGGTGCTGATGCTGTACTCCTAAATGCATATGAAAACCGTCATAATAAACAGCTATTTTTATCATAATTTCCTTCATGAATTGATATTATTCTATAGAACTATGTTTGTATTTATCGCTCATTGAGCGTGGAATGTAAATAACCTAGGGTTATAATTGAGGCTATCAGCGCAAAAGTGGTGAAACACACGTGAAATTTTTTCCTACAAAAAAAAAATTTTAATACATGAAAATAGCATCCAAATGTAAAATAATTACGTATTTTAATATCATTTAAAGTAATATTATAGAAAAAAAATTTATGTGAGTTACACCACTTTTGCGCTGATAGCCCCAATTTTCGACGAAGTGTAAGGCACATTATGGAAATCTAGCTAGAGTTACACCACCAGCTCACCGTACGTATTATGACAGGAAATGTCAATCAATACACAACACATATTGACAAAAGAAAATAAACTATGTAATACTTTGATATATTGCTTTGTGTTTCATAAAAAGAAACTCGTCTAGATAACACACTTTCATAATAACAACAATATTAAAAATAATATTAAAAAAGATAACAATTTCGAAAACTTACCTGGTAAGCACCATTGACGTACTGTTGAGTGTTCTTTATTACGACAAGATGAGCTGGTAAATTGACGCCCATTGCTGTAACAATAAGCGAACAGTTCTTTATTAATTTAAAAAATCGAAGCAGTAAGATGTCAATGCAGCCAATACTAGTTACTAGTTTCTTCACAATAACATTTTATATTTTCAATTAAATGAAAAAAAAATAAAATAAACGCTTATTGAATGTAGAGAAAAATCAAACGTTGTTGAGAAGAAAAGGACAAGAAGAAAGTAAGCAATAAGGTATGTCAGTTTTTGCATTAGTAAACACACGTTCAGTAGTGAGACTTTCCAGATTAAATGTGTAGCATTTAACAATTAGCCAAATTTTTCAAAGGAATACATTTTCTATTGTGTTAAACTGTTCTAGCAATGAGTTGAATTCAAATATAAAAAAAGGTAAATGTAGGACACCAGTGGAGAATATTTGAAAGATCGTGCTTCTTACAATGTTACTTCAAAAATTTCAGGTACGACATTTAGCGAGGTGAGGAATATTGTACGGGTTAAAGATGAAGAAGTTCTAGAAGTTTTATTATTCGAATTACCAAATCATAGCAAGTATTCAGGGTTATTTGTAAAATAGTAACAACCTCCCAGGACTATACTTTACTTCCAGACTTTTTACCAAACATGATAAATTTCGAAACGTCCGAAACGTCGGTTTGTTTGAAAAAACAAATATACGCGATTTAAATCGGGAAAAATAGTTTCATTTCCTATGTGTAACAATCGCGAAAACCTAAGAACTCGATAGGATAAATTTACCAAAAATATTTTTTTAAGTTTTTGTTTACTATCTGGCACTTTTGAGATGTGTATTTTTAGCAACGCCTCAAAGGACAGTAATTTTAAGTTTAGAGCTGTACAATTTTAACATACCTAACTAAAAAAAATCTTCCGTCATTTTGTTATTGATTAAGAAAGAGACAGATGCTTTAAACTCAAGATCAGTATGTCTGAATTAACATGTCATTACGTACCTAAGGTTGTAGTGGTTATAAGAATAGGTAGATCCCTATTGCGGAACGCGTTTTCGATGTTCAGCCTCTCTTCGAACAACAACCCAGCGTGATGGCATCCAACACCGCTTAACACTAGTGACTGTAATTGAAGAATAGTATATAAAGACAGTGGCTTCAAGTTTGGAACTTTTAGGTATAATTATTACTCAACAGTATTTACAATTAGTAGCAAAAATATCTGAAGCTTAAAACTAACTGGAGGGATCAAGATTTACCAGATGAATGATGAATGCCACGAAACGGATTGAAAATTAATTTTTGTAACGAAATTGTACCTAACATAATGAACTTTATGTCAATTGTGTAATGTATAAACTAAATAGGATAGCTTCAGGAATTCCCGAGACGATACTAGACGTACTCCGGAATACGCGCGACCTGTTTTTTGGCTCGTTTCTAGTTTGTACGTTCCGCAATTGGCATAAAGTTTATTTATTATACCATGTTTACAAAAATTTGCTTCCATTCCGTTCCGCGGCAATGTAAATTGAACCTTATACATCCAGTATTGAGTTTAGGAACACAGTTGACAGTTTTGCTTTGGTCCCACTTTTTGGGTTACACAGGACATTTGAAGTGGAGTTTTATGAGTATTCTAAAGAGTTTTTATTCAAATAATTAAGAATCACTCGCGTAAATTAGTTTTCTCAAGATTTGAACGAGGAAAAAGTTTTTGGGATAGCGAGGAGAAGGAGGGAAGGAAGGATGGTACTGCCAGAGTGTAAAATGCGTTTTATGTTTTGTGCGTGAAAAAAATGCACCCTAATACAATTGTAAATAAATATGAGGGAGTTGAGACGATGATAATAATTAACCATAAAAACTTACATAAAAAAGTGGTAAATGCAAGGTTTAGTTGAAATTTTATTCTTCTAGATAGAAGTAGAAAAAGTTTATTTTTTTCTTGTCTCTTATCCTAAACATATTTAATATGATTATTCCCTTCATTTAAGGCTTTCATAATGATGAGTTTTATGAAATGTAGAGATTGGAGCACTCTGAACATACAATTTGCCACTTTAAATGTATATTTTTGACAAGTTTCTCTAGATTTTAATATAGGAACCACTTCAAAACGAAAAAATAGTTTCCAAACAAATTATTCATAAATACTCAATCACAATTGCATAACAAAATGGAGGACTATAGAGCGTTAAAAGTTACCTACCTGCAACTTCTTGTTTTTTATAGTTGATGCTACAGCTGTGAGTCTGGACTTTTGCTCCGGCGTGAAATTGATGGTCACTTCTTTGGACAACGTCTCAGCTGTCATTAGTACGCTCTTTCGTGTGTTGCAGAATATCTGGGAAGCATGTCGTAGCAAGGAGTAGCGCACCTCTTGGTTCACTCCAGCAAAATATCAACGCTACGCAAGACGATATCTATCTTTATAATCGCTAAGTTATTAAGTTCTGTTACAGTAAAATGAAGTTCAAACTATATTTATATTTGTTAACCGACTTCAAAAAAAGGAGGAGGTTCTCAATTCGACTATATGTTTTTTTTGTATGTATGTTACGCGATAACTCCGGTATTTGTGCACCGGTTTTCATAATTCTTTTTTTGTTGGAAAGAGGGTATCTCCATAGTGGTCTCATTTAATTTTGAAGACAATCATCCACCTCTAAAGTGGCTGTTAACGCATGAAGATTCATTTTTATAAGTAGCGCCTAAATCTTATAATAAGGAGCAATTATTAATTATTTTAATGGTTGAGTTTGCTATTCTCTAATTCAAGGCGTTTTTCTCTCTCCATATACTTTCAGTAGTGAGAACCGATTTTTATTATCTCTGTGTCAAGTTCCGTATAGTGGCGAACTAGGGGATGAATCTGGGTTTGCGAACTTTCCGATTTCAAAAAAACTGGGCAAGTAGATGTAATTGCACACGTACTTTTGAGGTAGTTTTTTTTAGTACTCTGTACTGAGATTATAAGAAAATTACAAAAAAAGTCGTCAAACTGAATAAGCACTAGATACTATACATTCGTAAAGCAGATTCGTATAAGAGGAACAAGTAAGTAACTCTAGGATATAATTTCCCAAAGTGGTCCCTACTGCCCAGTGGGCGCTGAAGAGTCCTAGGGCCCTCGGAAGCAATTGGTTGATGTTGTCTAGGTGGTGCTACCGCATTTGAAAATAAAACACCTGAATTATCTATGTTAACTACACTCCATATTTCTTCTTTCCTTCTGATTTTTTATGTTAAGTGAAAAAATACGTGTTTTCAATTTATTTTTGTGGTGGTGGGCGTTGATATTATTTTATCTTGCCTAAGTGGGCGGTGAACCAAAAAGTTTGGGAACCTATGCTCTAGGAGTTGTTCTAAGTAAATAGACATTAAAAATATCACAGATAGAAACAACCCGAAGATCTAAATGGATCACTCTGGTCATCTGGTCAAATGGATCACGTGGATCATGATTTCGTATTTTTTGTTTCATGATAGTACATGGTCAAGAGCATGTCGAGTGTGGCAATTGAGATTTTAATTCAAATCTATGCCACTTGCGAAAAGAACAGTTAAAAATCTATAATGTCAAGCTTGGTGTGCTATTCACTGCTCTTTTAGAAAAGATTATTTTAAAGGCAAGGTCGTTAAATACACATGTTCGTTGGTGAAGTTTGATATCACCAAGTTGCTTTGAGTGTATTAAGTGTCTACAACATTGACTTACAAATAAATGGACGACGGGTCTAATACAAAAACCACGAAAAAAATGTCCCAAGTCAACCTATTCGAAATTTAAATTGTAATGTCATCGCAGTATCGCGCTGTCAGTAGAACAAATGAAGACTAAAGCGGAGTGTCGCGCTCTGTATACGATTTTAGCGCCTTAAAAGTGCGGACACTTTTTAGCGCGGACCCGACGTCCATATAATTGTAACTCAATGGTCTACAACATTAATTTGTCAACTCGTTTGAATGTAATGTCTGTCTATCAATGCATTATAAAAAAATAATGTCGAATAACAGTAAACCGGACTAGCTCAAAATGGACATACGCGTGACGTCTTGCCCTAATAATATTAACTGAGTCAAGATCAAAAAGTACATAGATCGCTTAAATATAATTTCTTTCTATCAATGCATTATGAAAGAAACTAATATCGAATAACATTAAACCGGGCTAGTTTAGAATGGGCATGCGCGTGACATCTTGCCCGTATGATATTACCTGAGTAAAGGTCCAAAAGTACATGGATAACTTGATCAGAATAAATTTAGAGAAATTCATTGCCCATTTGGTCCTACCGGGAATCGAAGCAAGGGTACAAATACAGATCATTTTACCATCAAGATCATCAAAAAGTTCTATAACATTAATAGGCCGAGAGACCCAGTGAAACTCCAATTACAATACAAAGATGTTTAAAAAAAATCGTTCATTTCGCGAACTTTGCCGGTAAAAATTATGTTGGTCATACCAAAGTAGGTTTCCCGTCGTGGTATTTTTGAATAATTGGCCACAGTTTGTAGTTGAGGATAATGTCGAATTTAAATATGCTCATTCCTTCCGGGCACGGGTAGCCCTCCACTACGCGCTTCAGTTTCACTGGGCGACATTCGTCACCAAACCTGAAAATTGTATTTTAGACATGTATGTGGCATAATGACAACACAGTGATTCAACAAACAAAATTTGATTCCCTTTTACCTTGAAAAATCTTACAGATAAGGTTGGTTGACTACTAGTAACTAGCAGAGTGGTTACACTCGGCGACTTTTAGCAGCGATGCAAACGCGATGCAGTGGCTAATCGTCTTCCTTTACACACGCGCGAGATTTTAAGCAGCGATACAAACGCGATGCAAGTGCGCTACTGCATCAATACAAACGCGCAACGATGCAATCGCCTACAAATCGCAAGTGTAGCGATGCAATGGCGCGTTTCACGAACACGCGTTTGCATCGCTGCTAAGAGTCGCCTCGTAATCGTAGACTTGATACTCGTAATAATAGGCCCAATTAAAAGAAAAATAAAGGGTCCACTGTCTGTGACAAAAAAGATAGCAGATTAAAAATGACGTCCGAAACAACTTCCGGTTGAAATTTGGAATTAGAATGTTTTTGGAGGCTCTAAATGTATTCTTTCATTCTTCGTCGTCGTTTTGTTCTTTCGTCCTTTTTTACCAAATTTTTCAGTAAGACTTCCATACAAAGTAATTATTAAGCAGATATGATATATTATATGGTTTTGGCATGTCTCAGATACATTAAAATAAAAATTGTGGCATTGCAACAACTTGTTGTCTCTCGGAAAGCATCTAAAGTTGTAATAGTACCTACCTATATTGTATTATTAAGAAGACCAATTAAGACATTCGTTTCATTTCGTAATTTTAATTCTTGTTAAAACTTTATAATCCCCAATCAGCTAGTAAACTGATCAGCAAACATCAAAGCACATTTAAAAAATTATAGAGCGTGGTTCATAGCACCTCTCAACAATGTCACTAACTCCTCTGGACCTGTATCTCTATTATTTTTTTCCATCCTCTAAGATCTGTATGTACTACTTAGAGGATGGAAAAAAATAAAGGAAATGTACTACCATCAACGTTTAATACGTTTTGACACTTTATGCCAAAAGCGCAAAATGCCAAACAGGCAGAATGTCAGTGTACGTATTTGTATCTACCTTAGACTATGATTTTTTTTCCAACCTCTAAGGTATCTACAGTCTATCGCCACACCTACCGGAATCAGTCGCATAACTTCGGGTCCTGCGTGTTTCTTATATTTAACAAAAAATCTTATTGTTGTTGTGAGTTGATTTCGATGGCAGAAATGGATAGCGCCCAAATTAAGATTGAGAATTTTGTTCGGTGTGTAATTTTAAGAGATGTACTCACTTGTAGAAGACAGCAGCTTTATCACCACTTTCCAACCAGGCAGCGACGTCTTCAGGGTTGCTAACAGTAGCAGAAACTGCCACGAACCGGATACGAGGTGGGGTCATTGAAATTAACTGATTATTTTCTTGATACTGTTTTTGCAGTTGTTCGATTCGATGGGCCGATTGTGATGAGGCCTACGATTTATAACGACAACAACGTAAACTACAAAAGGATGTAAGAAGGCATCTTAAAGAAGGGTCGAACCCCGTTTCGAATATGCGGAAATTACAGGAGCAAGCACACTGGTCATTCAGTTTCTTGCAGTCAACCGAGTGGCATACTACCCACTAAACATTTTTTTTAGTTGTAGTCAAACTATAGCAAAAATGATACCTACCTCAATAGTCTTCATACGACTAACAACAGCCTCTAACACGGGTCCTCTAGTTTCGTCATTGAGAATATGCACTTCATCTATCAAGAAGAGTTTGATGACCTCTACTAAGCCCCTGTGGTCGCGCCACCGACGAGTAAGCATGTCCCATTTCTCGGGAGTTGTTATTATTATCCTGATTTAGAATTTAAGATTGTATTACACAATTTTTAATTTATGTGTGTATGTATATATTGCTTATCAGGATGAAATTATAGAATATATTTCTTCAATAAGCGTCTATGTAACGTATAGTTGTAAAATATACAGCTTATAAGTAAATGAACTAAATGGGCTTGACTGTAGCCCAGAAGAAATTTTAAAAGTAACCGTGTACTGGAAATACTGGCCAGCGGCATTGATATTTTGTCCATCCGGTTCAGACTTGCCGATTACCAGTTTCTAGTTATCATCTCTTCAAATTTTCACGGATAATTAATTATAAACGGCAACACTGTCAAAAAGTTCATAAATAATTTGAACCAGTATACGGCAACATTGAGCCGGAAAAACAGAATGTATATAAACCTTGGGCCGATCGCTTTACGCGGTGACCCGGAATATTCAAGTTCATTTATTGAATAATACGGTTTATTAAATCCAAATGAAAAACTAAACATAATGCCATCTCTACCTTTTTACTTCGTATTACTTTATAATGAACAATATTAAATGAAAACTTGTCATGATAACTCCAAAGTGTATGAGTAGGAAAATATAATCAACACAATTTAGCGGTAAACTTTTATTATGTACACATTTTTATAGTCCGTAATTTTAAACTCGTCTACGGCGTGGCCGCAAAGAGTTATGAGTCCCTGTAGGTCTAACCACGAAATACGAAGCAACGATCATCGTTTTAGCTTCGTATCGGACCGGAGGCTACCACGAAACGCTTACGAAGATCGTAATTTGAGTCCTTACTCCGAAACGTCAAAACAGCTTTCGTATATCGAATTTATTTCTTCGTAAAACTGACAAATGTAGTACGTATGAGCTTCATTATCACAGAATTTGTTAACAAATCTATGTTTTATGTATGTGAAGGAAGTCTTCTCCAAATACAAATGTAGAGATAAGATTATTACACACAACATACAAACTTATGAGAGTAACAATCAAGTTTAAAGCTAAAATAAGAGTTCGAAATTTTTGCTTGGTCGAATTCAGTATATTTTTTTCTTTTTCTTTTATTCTAGTTTTGTTTTTGTTATTATATTATATACGTTTTTAGTCTACTTATACTTTATGTTATACTACTTACCTATACGGTTTTAATTGGGAGAAGTCCACATCAGTGTCTCCTGTAACTTCAATGCACAGATGTCCAAATTTAGTGAACTTTGGATACCATTCTGTTAATCGTTCCGTACAGAGAGCTTTGACTGGAGCCACTGAAAAGTTGTTTTTATATATATTTTAGACCTAATCTTTTATTAGCGCATTTTCGTGGGCAAGGATCCTCTTTTGAAACCGCGAAAAAATTAAATGTATGAAACTTTTGACTCGACTCACACGCATTTTCCACTAAGCGGCTAGTCTTATTTATTCAAATAAAGTAGCTGCTACGACTGCGGTCACTCGCGGTTAGTCGTTTAGTGGAAAATGGCATAAAGTATGAACATTTATTTAAAGCTGATTATTTTCCATTGTACTGAATATTAAAAGGTATCAGCTAAAAACCTACCTTTAATAATGTTACTCAGCTACTACTACTGCTACTGGCATCGATTGTGGTCAACATTTTCGTGGTGCGCGTTAATACTGATCTATCGTGTCAAACCAAAACACTGCATCGGTTATTCAAGGGGAATGAAATAGAAATAGCTTATTTTGAAAAGCACAATTATACCTAATGGCTGGATTCTTAAATATCTACCATACAAAATAAGTTAAATGTATCTTTTTAAGTTAATATCCTGAAAAATTGCAAACAATCGTAATTCTTTTGACATTACATTGTTTTGACACGATAGAGCTACATTAGAGTTTCCGAAGGATGGATTTATTCATGCAATGATCGGTTATCAACTTTAAACTGATCTTTTATGGCAAATCCGTTTTTTGGAGAGATCTAAGTTAAAAGTGTACGTAATATTATAATAAAAAAACTAGTACTGTATATAATTTTGAAGTCATCGATGTAATTTTTGTCCTCTAACTCCATGAGCAGTTGGACGATCGCCATTTCAAATATCACTGTCTTGCCGGAACCAGTGGGCGCGCACACCACCATTGACTTATCTGTCGAAGTAACGATGAAAGGAAAGCTGCACAACCTAAAGTTCGGTTCCTTTGACAATGTCGGAAACGGTTTTCTTTCCATTCTTACAAAACCTGTATACCTGATGTATGTACAGCATGTCCTAAGATACCTGACCCCCTAGCCGACCCTTTCGTTCTGAGAGCCTTCTTAAGCATTTATGGTTGAAATTTGTTCTTCTATATTTAATTACGTGTACGTTAAAGATTAAATTACTGGCTTAAAAAGTTTCTTAAAACATCAACGATGCAATAAGGAAGTCAGACCAAAATTAATTTTACGGCTTACAGGTTAAAGATTAAGTTTGTTTAACACTTCTTCACACTTACCTACTCAGAACTTTGGTTCTGTTCTTTAGTCGGTTATGAGGTAAGGTATCGCAAGGCATCGACTGTACTTAAATTTGAGATCATTGTTTGAGGTTATTGTCGCGATCTATCAGATGTTGTGATATATGCCATCAAACAAGCAGATTTCTTAAAGGACACATGTACCCACCAATTGACTGTACAGTCAACAGCTCGCCTGGCTTTACCTTCGTTTTTCAACTCGGTGTAACTCGTTATGAAAAAGCTTCAAAGTTGACCGTCCTGTTGCCAACTTTTAGGTAAAAGAATACTACGTCAAAACACTTAGCCAGTAAGACGATGACATTGCACACTTACCTGAATATAGTGCATCTTCTATAACACTTGATTGTACTAGGTTGAAGAAGGGATACGAAAATACGCCTCGATACTTTGGATCTGTAAAAGACATGGATTTTCCATTCTGGCATAAGTGCCTTCATAAAAAATCTACATACGTTAAATAGCTTCGTTTGAAATTTTGTATGAAGAATACAATTCATGTTTTCTGAATTTATACAAAGAATAGTTGCAGGGAAGTACTGCCACCTTACCTATAACGAAGCAGTAATGTGAATATTACCTAGGTACTGCGTTTCGGTTTTAAAGGGTAAAGGGTTCTGGTGAAATTACAGGCACATGGGACATTTCAATTTATGTCTCAAGTTGACGAGCGCAGTGGCAGTGCACCTCAGATGTTGGCGATTTAAAGCTCTGAGCGGCACTGCAACTATTATGGACAAGCAGATCGCTTATCACCAGGCGCACAACTTGTTTGTCCCATCACTTGATATAATAAAAAAAATACAAAACTACCTACAACGTTAGGTAATTTCTTTTGAAATTTTATACTTATTACATAATATCGTGCAATTTTTAGTTTACTGCATTTTAGATAGAGATAACATTTTAGAAACATTTTAGATAAAGTCAGAGTCAAAATAATCTGAGGGTCCAAGCCTGCTATTGCAAAATAATAATGTTAATTTTATGAAATGAACATTAATGATTTAATGTCCATTTCATAAATTGAATTGGTTGCACTTTCAATTGTTTGTAGTAGACGAAAAAACTTACAGTTAGGACAAAGTTGATTTTCTCAAATGCATGGACATTTTGGTAGAATTAAGTTGCTTGTGACTTAGATACTTTTTGATGGACACTCGAGTGTTTACGCACTTACTAGATAGAGTCGGCTGCACATTTAGTTTTTTTGTAGATATCTGCGCCTAGATTTTTATAGCAATCTGTCTGAATTAGCAACTTTTATTTAGCATAAATTTAAGGTTGGGTGTTGTGAATATGGCTCAATAACGGTTTAGATGAAACAGATCATCGTAATTTTCATATTCATAAAGCTTTGTTCATAAAATTAATAATAATAATAATAATAACGCAACACACTCATAGCACCGCACTAAGAAAACTGCATCGCGGGTGCCATGGACACCCACACATAGACAACCAGGAATTATACCCAAACTCCCGAGAGAATTAAATATAGGCCATACGCATATTTTTCCCGTCTGGGAATCGAACCCAGGACCACTGCGTGGCAGTCCAGCATGGTAACCAATCGGCCACAGAGGCAGTTAAATGCAGTATTTATGACATTAGGTATTAATCATAAGGTATCTGCTGTGAATTATGCTTAACTATACCGTTCGGCTTATTGCCAATGCTCACTAATGGCAAAAAGTCACGATTAAGTAATCAGTACTTTACAAAACTTCGAGTACTTACATTTTTACTATTGTTAAACTACTTAAATCTAAATCGTGTATATTTGTATTTTTTCTGTCTGTAAAGGGCTCGAAACATGGGTTTCAAAAACGCTTCTGTTATGCTATTCAGATCCAAAAATATAGTTTCATTTACAATTATTTTCTTGAAAACGAGTTTCTTTTAGTCACTTTTAGGAATAAGTATAGGTAATATTTTTATCACTCAGACTTAGCGAACAGTTGAAACTATTAGGAGATTGATAGCTTTTGATATTAATAAAGTTGTAGAACCTCTTCTTTATTCCAATTATTGCATAAACCCTTTGTGAGCGGCTTTCATTAGCCCTTTCTCCTCTACTATAACGTTTATGACAATAAATAGTAAATTGTGTATTAGGGGCGGTAAATAAGGAATTACGAGTCGAGGTTCGTAATTCCCGTATCACTCGTGAAACATAAAAATTTTTCATCACACTTGCACGTAAAATTAGTATGATTGCATGCAGGCTAACTTACAGCCATAGTCGGTAATGAGAAGAAAAAAAGGTCCGATTTACGTGCAAGTGAAAAGAAAAAGTAAAACTGATTATTATATTGACTAATTGTGAACAGTGCCTACTGTCAAGTAAAATTTTATGAGTTAAGAGTTCCAATAATAAGACTAATTATGTGATTAGCGCACCCGTGACACACAAATAAAATTCTCACCAATCTCTTCAATACTTCGAAAATCACCACGCTGTCCGGTATGTTTATTTGGCCGTACTCTATTATCGCCTATCGAATGTGTTTCAAGTAGCATGTGTTGCTTTCCAAATCTCGATTCTTGCGATGAGGGTATTGACATCGGCTGCGAGTTAGCTATCTCGTCCGCGTCACCTAAAACATCTGTGAAACTAGCACTGAAATGATACAAAAGACATACGTGAATAAAATAGGAAATATATACGCGATTGTGTTGCAGAAAATTACAACCCTTCGAATCACACATACAGATTTGACATCGTCTTTTGTAATTATCGTAGTTGTATCCTCGTATCAATGATAAAGTTTAATAACTTTTTACTTCTTGTAAGTTGTCAAACATTCCCGCTCATTTTTTTTTCTTTATTTGGTGGCTCTGGAAGTTGTAATTTCTTTTTAATCTACTAATGTCGGCCTGCTCATGTGCTTCATACAATCAGGCTGAAAAAACCAAGCTTGACTTTTCTAACGCTCTTAGGGTCGTATTCTAGAACTCTATTCAATGCTCAAGTCAGGATTGCACTGGCAACACAAGCACTCGAAATACGACCCTAATGGCAGGGACTTGAGTATGATATCAAGTGCTTTAAACCATACTCAAATCCTAACTTGAGCATTGAGTAGAGTTCTGGAATACGACCCTTAGTGTCGTATTCTCGAACTCTACTCAATGCTCAAGTCAGGATTTGAGTATGGTTTAAAGCACTCGAAATCATACTCAAATCCCTGCCATTAGAGTCGTATTTCCAGTGCTTGTGTTTCAATTGCAATTCTGACTTGAATATTGCAGTGATTACTGAAAATCATACTAAAGTCCTTGCCATTAGGGTCGTATTTCCAGTGCTTGAAATCATACTCAAGTCATTGAGTAGAGTTCTGGAATTTAGAAATGTAAGTATTAAGGAAAAAGAACAATAGAGGAAGTGTAATAGATATATATTTTAATCTTAGGAATATTACAAAGATATTTTTTTTATAAAATTATTAATTTTATGTATGTATAATAATTATTTTTTGTATGTAAGTTAATTGATGATATGATAATTCATTTGTATAGACTAAAAAATATAGGTACAGGCTAAAAAATAGCCTTAAAAAATAAACGGAAACGCAAAATGTAATATTGACAAACATTGACTTTAATTGTAAGTCAATGTTGACGAAACATCAATTATATATTTGTTTAGATTATTTATTTATTGAGCGTTGGCTGTTGGGCAATCAGTTTAAGAAGGTAAAAAATAATTAAACTAAAAATTCTGCTCTGTTGCCGTAACCGCCATAGAGATTATACTAAATCTATATACTACATCTATGGTAACCGCCGTAACAAAAAAACCAACAACTATAGTTCTGTTAATGTCAAAGAGGCAATACTTATTATTTATTTGTTGAACGTTGGCTGTAGAGCCATCAGCTTAAACAAGCAACAAAGGACTAAGAAACTTAAAACGTAATAATACCTGCTAATACTTAAAATTAAAAATTACTTTGTGAAAAAACTGTAACTACAAAAACCCGCCATTTTCCACCTCCAAGAGTAAATGCTTAAAAAATGGCTGCCACTGCTAGATTACCTTTTTAAAGTATGTTGGAAAGAGACCAAACAAAATTTAAACAAACTTGTTGAATTAGCCTATCTCACTCTTTCTTAATAGTAACGATTTGTTTAGACGATAAAAGCGTATAAATCAGCGAAATGTTAGCAGTTTCTTTTCCTGTCCAAGATATGACCGTGCTTCGTTTTTTCAATCTATAATTTCTTCACAAATTCCTTTACCAATATCTATTCCTCTGTTATTATCGTATGATAATTATTCCGTTTACAATGTTTTGGCTCATTTTATAAGGAAAAATGATATTAAAATTTTGATTATTATTTATCCAATTATCATTATTTTCAGCTATTACCATCTCATTTCCATTTCCTTTCATAATTTCCATCCTTCATTGGTTAGATTTACTTATAAATATACTACCTATCCTATCCTGTTGATCACCTTTCTAAATTCCGTTTGCTTTTATTTTTATTCCGCGATTTCCTTTCCCCTTTTTTAAAATCATATTAATATCCATAAACCCAACCAAAGTTCCACAACAACAACTGCATCGACAATAACAATTATCCTGAATAGATTTTAAAACTTTCGTGAAGCAAGAAAATATTTATTTGGAAGAATTATCAAAAATTTGCAACTCAGTGGAAATTGCATATGGCCAAAGGCTGGGCGCCATAGTGCCAAAATATAAGAGAAAAAAAAAGTTTCTGGAAACATTTTCCTTATTTTTTGAAGTGTTCGCGAATACCAGTGATTTCCTGGTAAGGTCTGTTTCGCCTTGCATTAAATTAATTGTAAGTCACAACATCTGCAGAATCAGCTGCACAATGTGAGTATATTTATTTATGTGATTTTCTATTATGAAATTAACACGTGATGGTTTTCCTGTTAACAATTTTTATTATCCACAGGGAGGTCTTGAAAGACTTCGATAATGCAGACACCGTCAGTATTAACACGCTAGCTCTGGAAGAAATGCTGTTGGAGGAAAGAGAGAAAGAAATGAAGAATCTACATGCAATGAACAAGAAAGTGTGTTATCTGCATACAAGTTTGTTGTACTATCGGAACCCGAGTTCAAAGAAAGGCGCTGTGTGTTATGACGCATGGCGAATGTTGGTGAAGAGAGTCGGAGGCACCCCAAATACATGGAGAGACTTAGGATGCCTGTTGGGGCTTTCGCCGCCTGATTTAGATGTAAGATAAAAACAATTTATACATTATCTCGTTTTAGCGCAAATAGTTCGTGGCGTTATTTAATTTTGTGTTATCATGTTTTTGTCATTTGTAAAAACAAACCGTGATTTATTGTTTCATTAAAAGAAGGGATATACATTAAAATTTATAAATATAATTACACCCATCACGCCTAATCAAGTACAAGCCATCAGTTTGGAATGAAAAACTTATTTCAAACACACTTTCACTCAAATTTGTAAACTTTGATTTTGTTAGGTGTTTAAATTTTATAGAAAAAAACTTCACACTTAAGTTATAATAAGCTTTATGATTAAAAAAAAAATTCATATTACAGTACATCATGCACACTGTGAGAGAAGATCCTGTAGACACAGTTTTAAAAGTGTTCATGCAAGATGATAAAGCCACATTAGATAAAATAGTAGATTCACTAATAAAACTTCAGAGGTATGATATCTTGACAGCTCTAGAAGAACCATTTGACAATTTATCCCAAGCTTTTAACATAAACGACAGCGGATATCACAGTGTCACAGATGGAAAGAAGGAAGTAATAAGCTATACAAAAAATATAGCCAATACATTGCCACCAGCCTTGTGTGAAAAATTTATACTAAGAGAAAAAGATCCCAATAAACCAAATCAGTTGATGAGACCACCAGCAAAAACAGATGAAAAAGAAGTGGAACATGATGGTCCAACACTATTTTTAACTTTTGTTGAAGATGGTTTACTTACTGCAGATAATATAAAGACATACATAGAGACCTGGACAGATTTCCCTGGTGTTAAAGTAATAACATTAACAGATAAAAGAGAAGAGGTATATCAGAATCCTGAAAAATTTATTAGGGAATATTTTGAAAAGGTAATTGTAAAAATTTTTTTCTATGAAGTAATGACATATTCGTGACATTTATCCCTTTCGATTGACTAAAATTAATCTTCCTCAATTCGACATGCTTGTGAAATATTCTTTTTACTATTTTGGGTAAATAAAGGCCTGTGATGGCAAATGTTTATAGTTTTGCTGTGTTTACATGTTAAATGTATATAATTATATGCCAATTTCTAAAAATAGACATTTTATATGTTAATTATGGTCAACAACTTATTTAAAATTTATGACTGACATTAATTAGTTTCTACTTGACTCAACCAGGCAGTGTTTGTGTTATTGAAGACCTTTTAATTTCTTATACATAGATTACATAAATAAATAAAATAAATATGTAACTTGCTCTTCACAAGTAAAAATATGATTGTGTAAATATGGCTTTCGTTTCATATAATTTTTTTTTCGTTTCAGGCTGATTTTGTGGTGCCAATAATAACATCAGGTTATCTACAAGAAATAAAATCACACAGCTCCAGTGTGCCTAACACAAGTGACAATTTAGATAGTAAATATGTAAACTTTATATACAATTTGATTATCAATCACTACATTCATGCAAGCGGTTGTATGAACAAGAAAGTACGGAGTGTTCTGCCTAAAAATGTCAATGTTGATGTATTGAGAAGTGTAACTTTGTACCCTGATTTAATGCCTTGGACTTTTGAAACAAATTTTGATCAACAGTTCAAAGCATTTTTAAAACAGAAAATTGAAGAGCTATGATAATAAGTTCAATAGATAATGTTTAAGAAACCAACAATGGTGTCTGATAAACAAATAGCTCATTCATATTTTTCTTCCTGGATTTGATGAAATTCTTGTAGAGGATATTCTGCAACATTACTACAGATACTACATGTGTAGGTTAAATAGTAGTTTTTTAACTTTTGACTTAAATTGATTACAATATGTATGGTCAGGGGTTTTTTAAATTGAATTCCTAATATTTATTCATTTTGGCAATTTACATTTTTCTATAGCGTGTGTCACCAATGACTTAAATAGGTTTTCGTAGGCATCACAATGGTGACTGAAACTCTAATGGGACATACTGGCTTAAATAAGCATGTCGTACTTCAAAGTCGGAGAGATATTATAAGATAGACTAGAAAAGATAGATAGACAGAGTGATAAAAGATAGGCTAGATTATGCTACCAAATGGATGAGACCCCTCTGTATCCCAAAATGGGCATTTTATGATACATGCCACAGAGCAGGCACGTCTCGACCAAATTAGAACAATCAAATCCAGGAAAGTACTTCGTATCTTTAACACAATAGAACAATTACTGGTGATGAAGGACTGACACTGTGAGGCCCTGAATGAAGTAATTTTGATTTGTATGTGATGTATTTAATAGGTCTCTATAATGTATAATGTGTGTATAATGTATATTATGTGTGAGAAAGTTTTAATTAGCACGGGTCTGTGTGTTTTGATACTTGCCACTATTTAATGCAACTAAGACATGTACCTGATGTCTTCCTGGCAGTTAATAATTGAATAGCAATAAATTATTTCAATAAAACATGTATAATTTCCTTATGTCTATTTATTTCAAGTCTCAAAATTAAGAAAACTTACATATAATACTTCATACTATAATAGTTTACTAAAGATCCATCTTATTTTCGAATAAGCAAAATCGTAGATTAAAAAACTTAGATCATTTCCTTTTTTTGTACTTTACACGACTTGGAGAGAACAAAATGATACAAGTAATAAATGAAAAGAAATGTTTAGACATAAAATAAACTAATAGATAAAACACCCGTTTTGCATGCCAATATAACAATGTCAGTTTAATTGTTTGGCATGTTAATCAGTCTTAAGGTGTCAAATACACTTCCGGACACAATTTGAGCCATCACGCATTTTCAATATTAAGGGCCATAAGCTTAATGTTTGATTGACCAAAAACTATTACGCCAATTTGAAACTAGTGTACTAAACGTCTTCACCATAAGTCCTTGTTGGGAATTTGGATTTGCAAAACCGGGAGAAACTTTTTCTTCAATAATAACACTATTTTTGTATTCTAACCCTTTACGACAAAAATGCGAGGTGGCTCGAATTATGTGTCCGGGAGTATATATTAAAAAAATGTCTATTCGTATTAAAGATACAATCAATTTTGTGAGAAATTTTTGCTTGATCTTCTATAATACATAAGTGGATCATGAATCAATAATTTAAAAAATATTGATTTATGAGTTATAAGCATAAAGATGTCGCAAAAATTACTCACAAAATGTCAGTACTAAAATAACTGCATATTCTAATGTTTTGGTCAATCAATTAATTTCTTAGTTGTGATAATTGAAGTATCACTAGCATCTTCAAAATTCTCAGTGGTTTCATCAGCTGTGCTAACATCGTTGACATCTATTCCTGTGTCATTATTGCCAGCATTTGACAACTCCTCCTAAAAAAAAATTTTTAGAACTTGGTGAACATGTTTTAATTCAAATATTACACTGATTTATTGTGCACATTGTAAAATATACATTACAACTAAAGAAAATATTACAGGTAGTTTTACATATTAAGTTAACCATAACCCAATTACATTACATTAGTGTAATTATGTGCAATGATTAGATCAAGAAATACATTTTTAATCAAAGTAAAATGGCAAAAATTAAAGATAGTCCTAATTGTAGGGGCTTGTAAATGCTACCAATGTAAACCACTAGGTGTTAAGCTCAGGCCACACAGATGCAGTACAAACGGGAAAAGCGTCACAAGGACAGGCCTGTGGCAAGCGAATCCTTACTGGGGCCTGCCTCATGGCAGACCCACGCGTAGTTCGCGGCGGGACACTTAAAAGCAACGATGTATAATTTTCTATTTAGATGTTAAAGAAAGCATCATATCGCTGTTGGAAAAATATTTCAAGAAAATATTCTGCTTTGATTCGCGTTATGGAAGCAACACAAATAAATTTTGGTTCAATTCATACTGAAACTTAATAAAAACACACTCAAAGAGTTGTAAAAAAATAGAACGTGCAATCCCGCTAAAGCTCTGGTCGCATACCGCGCCCTGCCGTGGCCGCTCTGAGTGCGCAACGGCAAGGGTGATTGCATAAACTAAACGGAATATAGCTTTGCGCCCGCACCCGTCACCCGTTCGCACCGGGCCCGGCCCGCGCCTGTTACAGCTGGGCGTTGTTAAACAAAAAGGATCCGATGCACATCCAGTCACTATTGAGATATGGCTGTTTGAAGATTAAGTGTAAAAATTTCTCATTCATAATATTAGTGGAATTGGATATGTCAGTGCCCTATTATTGTGAACATGCTAAGCATACCTTGATTACTTCAACAAAACTGTTGGCTTCATCCAGCATTTGTTTGAACAAGGCATTCTCCTCCTTCAAGTCTTCAATAACCTTGCGAAGTTTCTCATTTTCATCCAGTGCCTCTTGCAATGCCACTCTAAAATAATAATTTTACAATTTACCAGCTAATATGCTTTGTAACAGAAAGGACCTTACAAAAAGGCATCAATAGAGAATTTAAGTAACATTGAACTGTTATTTATAAGTTAATTAGGAATGTTACTCAATGTTTGTGCTGTAAATATTATTACTTATTGGAGAAGATAAAGGCCCTGTTCACAATTACAACTGAGACCCAGACATATCAATGTGTAAACAAACTTTTTTTTTATATTTACAAGTGATGGGACAAACAAGTCATGCGCCTGGTAGTAAACCACACGACTGCCCATAACAGTTGCAGTATTACTCAGAGCTTTAACTCATAAAGATCTGGGGCACCACCAGTGAGCCCGTCACCTTGAGACGTAAGTTGACAAGTTTCATATGCCTGTAATTTCACCAGCACCATTAATTACTCTTCACAACTGGAACACAGTAATGTCACATTACTGCTTGGCGGTAGAAATAGGTAAGGTGGCAGTACTTCCCTCGACAAGCTTTTTCACAAGGAGCTCTACTGTTTTTAAAAGCTCAAAATGTTGAGTTCTGATACTTTCCAGCGTCATAACAAAATATCATGCATGACTAATCCTAATTTGTACAATATTCCTTTGCAATAGTACTCACTGGCGCCTCTCAGCAAGAATTTTCCAATACGTCTCTGAAGCTCCTTTAGGGTTAGTAAGATCGTCCACAGAGATCTTTGTGTCAAGATTAGCTTGGGTTTCCTTGTTTAATGTTGCATTTTTTCTCTTCACTTCTGTGTCTCTGTAAATTTAAATATATTACAATTTACATAGGTATACTGATACCACAATTGTAACAAAACAACAACAACAAAAGCTAATATGAGCACCAATATCAGTTATTATTTAAAAATTATTTTGTAGTTAGGACATTTTTGAGAGAGAGGTTGGGGTTATAAATCACACTATGATGATAAATGTTATGAAATAATCAAATACTCACATAAGGGACTCTTGACTAAGCTGATGTTTGAGAGATTTCGAAGGTCTACCCACCAAGTTTTCCCTGTCAGTAGCCAAGCACTGCAAAGTTTTTAGCGATTTCCTCGCGCTCTTGGATCCATCCTGGTAATCAACAGTACAAAATAGAGTTAGACGAAGAGTAGAAAACGAGTAATTCCAATAAAAACATACGTAGAAACAAATAAAACATAACCTCTTGACTCATAGTGAATGGATTAAACAAATTAGCCGCCGTAAACTTGACTAGTTGGAAGTATTCCCGCAAAACCGTTTAATACAAAATACACTTTCATTAACTAAAACAACGATGAAAATCGAGTAGAAAACCTGACCAAGGATGACAAACACCCAAGAGTCACAGTTCCCGCCAAACAATATGTCTGCCTTAGGGTGGTGTAAAAAATATCGATATATCAAAATATTGATTTTTCATGAAATAATGGAATTAAATTGTCGATATTTTTACAAAATACGATTTTTTTTCCGAGTGTCAATTTCGTTATTTTTTATAGCAGCTAAAGATATGAAGCTATATGAATATTTGCAAACAATTTGAATTACTTCGTTAGGCATTGTTTTGTGGGATAATATGAATTGATACAGGGTCAAGAGATCATTTCAAGTGTCGAGTAAGAGTCAAGCTTGACACTTAAGACTTATATCCAACACTATGCTGCTTACGATAAGAACAGTCCAAAGTACAAAGTATCAAGCTTGATGTGCTCTTGACTGGTATAATATACATAAATGCAAAATTAAAAGCTCAAGATACCTTTATGAATATTTGCAAACAATACTTGCAATACAAGCTTGACATTTAGACTTAAATGTAACTCTATGCCGCTTACGATAAGAAAGTGTCAAGCTTGATGTGCTCTTGACTGGTATAATACAAATACAAATTCTATAAAATATAATTTCCTAACATTCGGTAGCCTTGACGGGGCCTCCTAGCCCATTTATATGATGGTTAACTCTTTTTCTCTCGACATCTTGCAGCAGGCAAACACGACTATATTTTTTACCTGATCTTTCTTTAACAAAATTTTCTAAAACTTCGACACGTGTCTTTAGTTTACAGAATTTTAATAAGCTACTACTGGCTATGGGAAAAATATCGACATATTTCTCTAGATGAATATCCATATTGATTGTAAATATCGAAACGATACATACGATATACTTTTTCCAATTGCTCATGCCTACCCTGCCTTTTTTTTTTACTTGTTCTTTTTTTTAATAGAGCAATGTTCACCCAGTTATTTAATAGAGAATCAACAAATATCACGAGATAATACGCCAAGTGATAAATTTCCATCAGCTATTCAAAATTTCTCACAAAACAGAACTGTCACATTAAACTTTATACATTTTATTCAGTAAATAATATCGAAAAACATGTAGAAATCTTGTATCAAACCTAAAAAAAGGTTTCGTGCGTCCAAAGAAAAACTTTTCATTGTGATATACACTCGCGAGCAACCAAACCGACTCAGACCCTACACCTGCATATAAAGTAGTTTTTATCAAAAACTACTCAGTCAATTAATAAAATGTCTTATTTTCTGATAGCCTGAAACTTTAGCTTTAAGATGGTCTCATTAGCATAAAAATCGATTGCGTGGTTTTTGAAATAATGGTAATGGAGTTAACAATTAGGGAAAATAGGAATTTAGAAAAATAATTTATGGAGATTGTTATTTAAATTAAAACAAAAAAAAGTAAAATAATAATAATAAATTTATTTAATTAATATTTGGTGTTACCTCCTTTAGCCCTAGTAACAGCTTGTAGTCGATTTTTCATTGACCTTATTAACTTTTTAATAACTTCTTGAGGAATTCCGTCCCATTCCTCTAACAACGCCGTCTTGAGCTCATTGATATTTGAAGGTGCCGGATTTCTGGCTCGGACCCTTCGTTTGAGCTCGTCCCATAAATGTTTGATGGGATTCATGTCTGGACTAAGCGCTGGCCAGTCCATGGTCTGTATACGGACTTCTTCCAGAAACCGCTTAGTTATACGCGAAGTGTGACACCGGGCATTATCGTGCATCAATAAGAAGTTATCGCCGACAAACCCCGCGTACGGAACAACATGTTCTAGGAGTATATCGGTAATATACCGATCGGCTGTCAATCCTCCTCCTCGGTCCCCCCAGCCACGAAAACGAGTTCGGTTTTCTCGTCTAAAGAAATTCCAGCCCACATCATACAAGAGCCGCCGCCATATGCAACAGTTTCAGCGAAACAGCACTGCGAAAATCGTTCACCTGGGCGCCTATATACCCGACCTCTTCTATCACTGCCATGCAGACACATTCTGCACTCGTCAGTAAACAAGACAGCCCGCCATTGCTCGTGGTTCCAATTGAGGTGCTCTCTAGCAAATTGCAGGCGCGCTTGTCGATGGCTTGTCGTCAATTTCGGACCAGTTGCAGGACGTTTTAGTGTAAAGTTGACTGCCCTCAGGCGTCTTCGAACTGTCCACTGGCTTACAGCCACTTCTCGAACACGTCTTAGCTCTTGCTGTACGTCGACACCAGTCAGGTGGCGATTTCGTTGAGATGTAGAGACTATGAACCGATCGTCGATTTGAGTTGTGCACCTGTGACGGCTGGTTCTCGGCCTCCGGTCGAATACACCAGTCTCTAGAAATCTTCTGTATACCCTTGATACAGCAGATTGGCTTAGGTGCAGTGGAGCAGCGACAGATCGCTGACTAAGTCCCTGTTGCAAAAGAGCAACAACTTGAACGGCTTCTTCCGGTGTTGTATCCATGGTTTTGTCAAAATAGTGATGGCGATTCACGGAGATGCGTTCAGGTCAACTTCTGGAAAGCGGCTGTAGACATAAGCCGCGTGCGGGAGGTTTTATAGGGTTAGTTGGTCGCCCAACTGGTACTGGGTACCGCGAGTAAATCTCCCTGTACTGCCTATTTTATTTTATTTTTTTTAAACTACTGAATCGATATTGATGCTAATGGTACATTTTTAAAACTGAAGTTTCAAGCATTTTAAACATTATAACGTTTTTATAATTCGGTTGTAAACTTTTTGATAAAACCTACTCTGAATGCGCGCTTAGACATTGAGTCGGTTTGGTTGCTCGCGAGTGTATATTGTATATATGTTAATTGTTATCGCTTAATTGATTCCATCATTAACAACATCGGCACCGTATATTGATATAATCGAAAATAATGCAATCGGGGTTGCAGATTGATTCTGTTGTCTCACAGATATATCATTTATCGAATTTTGTCAATCACTATTAAATTCACTATAACACGTGCTCCAAGATATCACACGATGCAGTTAATACTGTTCAGTCACCTTGTGTAACGAAATTCTTGACATTCGTCTAAGAGTCGTGATATTTGGAGCGATTAAATTCTCACGTATGATATCTACCCCCTTTGGATTAGTAACGACCATCAATGTGACTCTTCCTTAGTAAGAATCATATTTTATTAGTTACACTCAAAGTACCGCAACTCTAGTGGCAAATGACGGTTGTCGATTGTCGACATTGTTGAACAGAGACAAAACATTTATGTCAAGTAGGATAGAAAAAAAAATTACGTTTTAGTGATTTGGGAGCGAGTGGTCGGTTGTGTGTACTACTTGAATATTGTGTAAATTATCAAGACATTTATCGTTTGTTTTCCGTCATGTAAGGCGGGTTTAACGTAATTTCGGTTATTAAGTAATTTTATTACACTTTACTACTGGTCTCTGGCGATCATTGTATAATTTTTCACTGAACTTGAAGCTTATCCGCTTATCTATACCTGGCAAACTGAGTATTTATAACTTCCAACTCATATAATTGGTGAAGAATTTTTTAATATAAGCTTAAAAAATGGATACATTACGGTGAGTAATTAAAGTATTTTTATTAATTAAAAACTGGGTCAAAGTCAAGGTTACTTTGTCGTTATTTTGGCGATTATCAGTTCATTTTAACAATTTTCAATATATTATTAAATGCCTACTTTAAGTAAATCTAGTAATTATATCGTGGCTAGCCTGTTATTTAATCAGATTTTAACATTTGAAATTCCACAATTTTTATGTTTAAGTTGTTATTTGAATTTATTGGGAATGTTCTAAGAAAAAGTTTCTTATTATGAAGCTTAAACTCTATGGGTGGAATTTTTTCTGTAGTTCATGTTCTCTTATTCCAGCTTATGTTTCCATCTTTCTTCAACATTACATTTCTAATCAAGAAAATGTTAATGAAAAGTTATTTAGTTCGTTGATTATCATGTAATTTTTTTTTAGGTTCTTTTTGGTGACCTGGAATGTTGCTACTAAGTCCCCTGGGCAGGATCTTAACTCATTATTAGACTTTCCATCACAGTTTAATAAAAATAAACCCTTGCCTGACTTTTATGTTGTTGCGTAAGTATTTTTTTGGTTTTACGTGAACTAGTTATACTCGTGGTGGGTTTCCTGTCTGTTTAGAATCCACCTGGGTAGTACCACCATACCTATTTCTATTCTATTTCTACTGCAATGCAGCATAGCTGGGTAGTGTTGAGGTAAGTTTTCTTTACTAATTTTAATGGCAAATTTTACTGTTTATTTATTTATTGAAAGATACACCATCAACTTAACACAAAACAATCTTAGAAATAAATATACATATGTTTACCACTCATTAAAAATTTAGAGTTAGCCAATGAGATACAAAGAATAACCTAAAATATTAAAAAATAATCTTTTAAGAATGTAAAATTACAGCAATAATTGATTATAATGGATTTAACAATTGCTTGCACATGCGACTAAACTGTTTAGTGTTCCCTTCATGAAAGATGTCTATGTCTGTCATCGTATGACTGCATGAGTCTGTTCAAGGGGGCATAACTTCTGAGATTAGTTCGGCCACTAGACAAAACAAATGATTTGGGGACCCTAGGCACTCCACAAGGAACATATAAGTTGATGAGGGCCAGTGCCTCTGGCGATGATATACCTCTCCATGCACCATCCTTTGCAAAGTTCCATTATCAGCAATTCAACATCTGGTTCCAAGAGAAACACATTCTGAAATATTTTAGGCAAGTATCCAAATATTCAATATTATGTTAAGTATTCAAGTATATGATCATGAAATATCAAGTAATATTTCAAGATACTCGAATATTAAGTAATACTTCGTACAATATTCTAGAATATTTAAATAATAAAAATTGCCACCAAAATTAGGTAGAGGAAACTATTGAATAGTAGGGAGATTTGAAATCCTATTTCGATTATACAGGGTGTCTGGTAATGAATGAACTTTATACTTGACATTGTCTTTTGATTTAGTTAAGTATTACTTATTTGACAGTAACTGTTTCAGAAAAATATCAGATGGAGAATGGGAGTAGACACCCAGAGTTGGTGGCAAACAATTGTAACATTTGTTGTAAATAAATTTAAAATGAAGTTTTATTAATGTGTAATACTGTTTTTTATTAAACCTTAATGGTCTGTTACAATTTAGGACAAAAACGTTAAAATTTTGAAAACATGGTTTTTTGGTAAAATGAACTCTTGCACATTATTAGCAATAATTTTCTATTTACATAAGATACAATAATGAATTATACCATTTTGAAATCTACTTTATACTCGCATTATTTTGATTCAGGTTATCATAATTTTTTTTTGAACCCAAGTCGCTTAAACTGAAAAAATAAACAGACTAACAACTTTTAAAAAAAATCTGCAATAAAAACGCCAATGGACTAAAAACTTATTTAAAAAAACAGTGCGATAGTTAGTCGTTCTATTTATTGACTATCTATTAGCACAGTCAACGTAGAATATTGTGACACCAGAAAACTGAGAAAAAACCATTCATTTGTGGTCAAGATGTACAAAAATCTAAGATAAGGTAAAAATAATTCAATGAAAAAAAAGCATTAGGTACTACTTGGGGACATATATTTTTTTATATTTTTGTTAGAACAGTCATAAGATATCCTGTTAGGCATTTCAGGCATATCCATTTATTACCGGACAACCTGTATATTATGAATGATACACTCCTTTTCCCAAACAATACTATAGTTTTAACTTTAATTCCTTAGACAATTTAAAAAAATGGTTTATTAATGAACTGTCTGAATATAGATTTAATATTTAATTATTTGTTTATATTGTGCATGGTTGACATTTTTTAAAATATGATCAATATGTTACACAAATATATGTTTCTCATTTTCAATAATCAAGTACAACTGATGAAATTGGTAACTCTTTGAGTACAATGCCTCTCTGTCATTATTTGGTTTCATTATGTCTTAGCCTGGGCTTCCAATTAGAAACTTCACACACAGGATGCACACAAGTATGGTAACTTGCTCAGTCAAATTATTTGTAAGACACTTGTAAAAGTGTAGTTTTATCTATTAGTTTATAATCAGTTGACATCAAGCCTGTATGTGTTGTATTTTCCAAACCTAATAATCTAAGATAATTTCAGTCTGCAAGAAGTAAAATCACAGCCTCAGAATATGCTAATGGATTCCCTATTCAGCGATCCTTGGACATCCACCTTCAATAACATACTCTGCAGACAAGGGTACATTAGTGCCAAGAGCATTCGGTTACAGGGAATACTTCTCTTGGTATATACACAAATGAGACATGTTGTTCATTTGAGAGAAATTGAGGCTCAGTACACCAAAACTGGTTTGGGTGGAATGTGGGTAAGACTCATAGTTTATTTTTGTTCCCACGTAAAATGCGCCATTTTTTATTGTACTGGATATCAATCATATCAATTAATGCAAATGAAATTTATTTGTAATATTTTCTAAAACTCTTTTTTTATTAATGCCTGGTAACACTTGGGTTTCAAAGTTCACACCTCATAATCACTGTCTATGGTTCCATCTATGTAAATTACTCCCAAGAGAGGTGCCTTCAGACAGGATTGTGATAAAATGTAATGTTATTTTTCTTCGCCAGTTGATTTTTAGAGATCTTTAGAAGGTTTGTTAGTGATCGATCATGCCTCTTTGTAATATCACACTACTGTCGAACCCGGTAGTAGCCGCCATTTTGGATTTCACATTTTGCGTTTCGTTCTTCTCTTTTTGTTTTGTCCAGTGCTTGCATAATCAAAGAGATTTTTTCCTGCTTGTATCTTTAGCAATGTTTTTTTATTACACATTTATACATATATCACTTGCAATAAACATGTCGTTGTTTTGTTTTATTAGTATAACAATACACGTTCTTTTCTCATTTGCGTTAATTTTGAATTCTGTTGCATCTGAAACATGCCTATTTTAAATTACTTATACTCTGAGAAGTTACGTTTTGGAGCCGCGCCATGCTAAAACTGTATTTTGAAATTTTCACTTGCGTAAAAATCCATATAAGACGCGTTTGTTCCGCTTGATTTGTCTCTAACATTTTCGCATACCTCACACCTAATATTAAATGTACCTTTAGAGTGGTTATACACGGCGACTTTTAGCAGCGATGCAAACGCGCGTCCGTGAAATGCGCCATTGCACCCCTACACTGCGATTTACAGGAGATTGCACCCATATAAATGCGCGATTGCATGGATGCAATCGTCTATAAATCCCAAGTGTAGCGATGCAGTCGCGCGCTTGCATCGCGTTTGCACCGCTGCTTAAAATCGCGCGCGTGTGCGCATCGCGTTTGCATGGCTGCTAAAAGTGGCCGTGTGTGACCGCTCTTAGAGTTGGATTCCACTTCTCCACCTGTTTGAACAAAAATGTGTTTTATATGGGCACCCTGTATACTTCAGCATCAAGCGAACTAAATAAATCGAAAATTTTCAGGGCAACAAAGGAGCAGTCAGTATACGTTTTAACATCTATGGGTGCTCAGTGTCGCTTGTCAACTGTCACTTGACAGCTCACGAGCATCTCCTCGCCGATCGTATCAACGATTATAACACTATTTTAAAGCAACATGTGTATCATGTCACTCAAACCGCCAACATCTTGTATCATGAGTAAGTTCCTTTTTTTATTTACGTATAAATAGTATTATGTATATGCAATCGTCGTATAATGAGGATTCTTATTCTTATTCTTATTATTATGAGATTTTTAGACGTAATTATTGCATACAATACTTCTACAAGTAAATAAAATAATGAAACAGAACCAATATTTAATGTATATTTTGATAACAATCTATGACAGCAAACGCAATTTTAACCCATTTGTTAGGGTATGCGAAGATTCCAGCGTACAGCCTCTTCATATATTTAGACGAAAGCCAAACAAACGCTACAAAACAAAAAACCAAAGAGATAGAATAGAACTGGTCAAGTTCCGCATATATTTTAATCAATAATAAAACATAAAGATTTATGGCCTGGTTGCAAGACTTAGGCAAAGTTTACCATTCAGGAGGCAGTATAGCGTTTGAATAGCGTCGTAATAATTGATATTTGACTTACCAAAAATGCGATTTTTTTTTAAATCCATTATAGTTCTGAGTACAGTACTGTAATACTCATTAGTTCTGCGTACAGAACTTAAATGAAATTTTTAAACTCAGTGACGAGTACAATAGACAATAGAATTTCGATTCAGAACTGAAAAGAGCAGAGTGCCTTTATGATATGGTTTATGAAATTGTAATTGACTGATAAAGTACAGGAGTAGAAAAAAATGTTTTTAATAAATGTATTATCCTTTCGGGCTCTTTACATGTCCCTTGGTCACGCCAGACTGTCAGTTGTAGACGTTGTAGTTATGGTTTCATTTCTGATGTGTAGTATGCGCGAAAACATAACAACTCGACACTATAAAAATATTTTCAAGGAGGTAGCTTATGACAGAAGCAACGTTTCTTAGTCTCTATCATTTATCATTTTTAAGAATACACAAGAAAAAGTGACTCCTTCTCATAATTATTTGTTGCAATATTTCATTTTTTTAAATTTAGTTATGCACTGCTTTAGAAATGTTGATATTTAATCCGTTTCGTATGCAAATTCCAGTCTTATAGTGTCATTAAAACTGGTCTGATAATATAATACTTTTAAACTTTCACGTTGCATTATACTAACATACTAGGTAAGTGCGAAAAATATCTATTCGTATGTAAACGCGTTTATTCCAGTTTCCAAATGTTGGTCTGATAACGACGTCAGCAGATGATAGATGGGTACCTTAAGTACCTAAAGTGTACTTTAATAAAATTCGAGAAATAAAACAATGAATGTCTTAAGTTTTTAGATAATTCAAAGTTTGCTAAGCTCATAAGAAAACTGTTTGCACCTCAATTTTATGAGTTTAAAGTTTTACGTAATATCGATCTAAATACATTGTCATAATTCTAAAGGACTTTAAATTATCTATTGGTGAATAATTCGCATTCAGACAATTCCATTTTATTGACATTCTTATCAGCACTTGATAGTAATTGGTTTAATATCTTGCTATCTTTATAGTTTAATAGATATCGCTGATAACGACTGGGTGCCATTGATGTCTTATAAAGTTTAAACCTCGAATTAGTTTTTTACATGACCCACATTTAAAATTATTAATGGATATTTGCTGTATAAACACGACTTAAAAAGCATAGGTTCAGAGACCGGGAAGTAACGGATTGCTGGACGAGTATCAGACAACCCTAGTATATATCGTCGTTGCAAATTTTGTATCTCCTATGTGTTAAAAGTAACTATCATAGAAAAACGAAAGAAAACCTTCTCCTGTAAAATTTTCGTAGAGTATTTTTGTTTAAATTTTTATTGAACATTTTATTGAATATCAATTCAATTATTTTTATGTGAAATTATTCCCTTAGTTTGTTATAATTACTAATACAAAGATCGAACACTCAGAAAAAAATCCTTCGATCCGGCCGGATTCGAACCGACGTCTTCTAGCATACCGTGCCAGACGCTATACCAACTAAGCCACGGAATGAACCAGCAAATCTCACGAATTTTTCAATATGCTTGCGTAGTGTCTTTGTATATGGTTTTTCAACGACTTTTTAGCCGTAGCGCCATCTATGAGAAAGTATTAGGGGTTAAAGTATGAAATTGCCGTTTTATTGCAATAGGTTCTTTGAATTTTCATAGAATCTTCATGGTTTGAGGTTTTCGAATGAAACTTTTTTCAAATGGTTTCTGTGATTTTTTTTTTAAATTTGAAACATTTGAATATCGACTTTCAATTGTTTTTGTTATTCAATTTAGACAAGAAAGATGGATACTGCGAAAATTCGAGTGATTTTTGAATACGAGTTCCGACGCGGAACTAACGCGGCAGAAACAGCCCGCAATATCAATGCTGCGTTTGGAGAGGGGTCTACTAATGAACGCACCGTGCGATTTTGGTTTAAACGCTTTCGTGATGGAAATTTCGACTTAAAGAACGAGCCACGAGGAAGACCGCCCACACAGGTGAATAACGATGAATTAAGAGAGATAGTGGAAGCCGATCCTAGTCAAACTACCCAGGAATTAGCGGCATGGTTTAACGTTACCTTACCCACAATATTGACTCACTTGCGTCAAATCAATAAAATAAAAAAATACGAAAAATGGGTGCCTCATGATTTGACTGATCTGCATAAAGAAACGCGTGTTGAAACTTGTGTTGCCTTGTTGAACCGGTACAGAAATGAAGGAATATTGGATCGAATTGTAACATGTGATGAAAAGTGGATTCTTTATGATAACCGGAAAAGAAAAATGCAATGGCTGACCCCAGGTCAAATGCCACAACAGTGTCCTAAAGCAAAACTTACCAATAAAAAGGTAATGGTAACTGTTTGGTGGTCTCAGCATGGTGTTATTCACTATAGTTTTCTCCGATCTGGTCAAGCAATAACGGCAGATGTCTATTGTGCCGAACTCCGAACCATGTTGACAAAACTAGCAGTAAAACAGCCCCGACTCATGAATCGATCTTCACCATTATTGCTCCACGACAACGCGAGACCTCACACAGCACGAGAAACCATTTTGACCCTTCAGGAACTGCAGTTAGAAACCATTCGTCATCCTCCGTATTCACCAGACCTTGCTCCAACGGACTACCATTTTTTTCGTGATTTGGACAATTATCTACGTGACAAGAAGTTTTCTTCCCAGGAGGCAGTACAAAATGCTTTCACACAGTTTGTGCAGTCTAGATCGTCGGAGTTCTATCGCAAAGGCATTAATAACCTTCCCATTAGATGGCAGCAATGTATAGATAATAATGGCAACTATTTTGATTAAATAAATTTGTTAAAAATTTAAAAAATAAACAATTTAGATTTTCAGTACAAATCGGCAATTTCATACTTTAACCCCTATTATAAAGAGTACTTTTGTTGATTGTCATTGAAATAAGAAGATATCCACATGAGAGTTTTTTCAGTCGGTTACACTTTGAATATGCTTTTCAAATATTTACAAAACTTCTTGTCGACCAAAATGACACTTAAGAGGTTTTAAATTTGCAACGACGATATAGTGCTTGTCTCAAACAATGCAAGGAAATAATAAATGACCATAAAACTCCCTTTGAGCTGACTCCGACTTTTCGTGATATATCTATACCGAAAGCCGACTGTCTCCAGCTACTTGGAATGGACCTGTCGTCCAATTTGAACTTCGGCAAATACATTGAAGCACAAGTCCGATCGTGCATGGAGTACTGCTGCCACCCTTGGGTTGGCTCTGCTACATACTACTACTATATAACTAGCCACCTTGGATTCAATTGACAACCTTGCCAAGAGGCTTATAAGTGATTCAGAATTAGTGGAGGCGAAGCTGCAGAGCCTTGAACATCGTCGTAAAGGTGCCTGCTTATCGGTATTTTACAGGATCTAATAACGGAGAGTGTGCGATGGAATTACACGATTTTATTCCGCCTTCCCCTTTCCATCACCGGGGGACTAGTACTTCTAGTCCCCCGGTGGATTCGGCGGCTTGGGTTCCATCACTATGTTGTGGATATTTCAAAGATTCGTACGAAGCGTTACGCTTCCACATTTATATGGCGAACGGCTATGGAGTGGAATTCTTTGCCTGCGCACTTGTTCTCTGAACGTTGTAACTGGGGCCTTTTCAAGATGAGAGTGAATAGGCATTATTTAGGTGTGCATGCTCCATCGTCGACCTCATCGTCACTTTCCGTCAGGTGAGATCAAAGGCGCACTTACATTTTATTTAAAAAAAGGCTAAAGACTGAAGGAAAACTGAAACAAGTTTACCATGGCAAATTTAAAACAGGAAGCAAAATTTGTCTTTAAATATTAATAACTTATTTTTCGCTTTTTCTATTATACATTCCCCTTTTCTAAAAAAAGTGCTATACTCATAAAAAAGTACTTTATTCAGGAAAGTTTGATGATGAAAATCGTGAAAAAATCAAAATCATCAAAAAAAAAAAGATGAAGACGTTTCTATTATTTACACTACAGACCCATACCTAATATTCGTAAAATTGCTTGGTATGGGTCTTCTCCAAAGATATTTTGGGCTATACTTTAGCACATTAGTCCCATGCGGCATGCGGATTTAATGAGTTTTCGAAGTATTTTTAAACCTCGGTCATGTCGGTTTTATCATCATATTTTCCTCAACGCTTGGGGAAAGTAATAATTAGTAAAGTCAACTGCACATTCGCAAATACTAAACGATACAGCCAACCTTTTTGTACACTAGTCTTCACACTCATTCATACTATAACTGGTACCAACTAGTGCCACGTGCACCATTAAAGTTACACATTAGTACCAATTATACCATTAATGATTCGAAGAGAATTCTTATTGTAACATATTAACCCATTTCCACGTTAGTACATAATTGTGTACAGTAGTATATAATGTGCAGCAGTGGGAAAACAAGTGAAATAACCGCTTCATAATGCATCGTTTTCTTAAAGGCCTTATTATTTATTAATAAATTTATTAAAAATGATTATTACTAATTACAGGTTTCTTACCATGGTATGATTATTTAAATATTAAATGGACTTACTCTTGACCGCTACCTGACCTTACACGCTCCAGGGCCAGTCAACCCGTGTAACCGTTCCAAATTATCGAGAAAATTATAAGATGTCATACCATGGTAAACAAATTATTTAGGCGATGCTCTACATACGTAATCGGTATACCCAAATACCCCATACTATAACATTCATTAGTCATAGTCGTATCGATTTACATCAAGGTCAAAGACAAATACCTACGTGAGAGCTAGGCTTTGGTGTCTTGAGGTCATTTTATTACATTGATATATAATTGTTTTTTGACGCATAGTCATTATGTTATCGGTGTTACAACTGTAACATTCTCACGGAGTTTCTCTCCTTGTTGGATAAAACCAATTGTGTCAGCGTACGTACCTAATCTTACCCTAAACCCAAACCTAATCCCCAAACATATTTTGACTTAATCTGAACTATCTTATCTTTTTTCCTTATCTCCAACAGCTGACAATCATTTCGTTGTCAAACAACAGGAAAGACAAATAATTGCTACAAGTTAGTAGTAAGTTAAGATTTTATATCTGGTTATTTATTACGGCGTCTGTGACGTAAAGGAGCGCCAGTACGGCCTTATATCACACGAGTCAGGCAATTGTAATTCGCGTCAATGTAATTATATGTAGATAGCTTTTCTCAATAAATGGAAGGAATTGACATAGATGTTTACAAAAACAAGTTAGCGATAACGCGAATATTTACTGTGCATTTCTAAAACATTTTTTTATCAACCTGTTTAAAACAGAAGAAAATAAACACTGCCTTGAAAAAATTAGCGAACGACTGGGCTGTATGGCAATTGTCTTTAGTCACTTCGAAGTTGTATTGGTCGAATATTTAAAAGTTTAAAGTAGCGGTGTTTTTAATTCCTGGAGTGTGGCAAAAAAAAAAATCATGCTTTGCGTGTTCTTTTTTTATAAGTAAAGCGGACATTTTCGAGTATGTTTGAGAAAATGCTATTTAATGTATGCGAAACATGATGTTTGTACTGGCAATGTTTTTGTTACATATTCTGTTGTACCATGTTTTAAAGAGCAAATAAACGAATATTATTATTATTCAGACGAAACGAGTTATTTATGGGTTTTAGGTGATCAGTATTTTTGACTTTACATAATATGCGGCTGTAGCAAATTATTGTTATTATCGTGTAGTTTTTTGTCGGTATCTAGGTCTATTTGCCACCATGTATGGAGTTATTTTTAAATACGAACAATGGTTATCAACCCCTCTGACCTTCAAGTAAAGCAGAGTGCGGCGGCGATTGGAAGCATGTTCTTGATACTTAGGTAACACCTGAAAATGATTTTGTTATTATTATTTATTTATAGAGCGTTTAAAAAACTTAAAAAACAACAAATACTTAATTAAAAAACTCAAACCATAATATGCTTAAACTAAAAATTAATTAGTATAAAAACAGAAAATACAAAAATCCGCCATTTTTTTCTTGCACCACATCACGTGAAAATAATAAAGACATTGAAGAATGAAAATTGACTTTAAATAACAATTATTTGTTCTTAGCTTTTCGCGGTTAGCGTTTTAATCACTTACAAGGTTTTTGACTTTTGACTTTAATTGTTACTTACGTGTAACCAATGCTTTTTACAAGGATTAAGAAAGGACCATTTGGATCGAATAAGTGGAAATGTTCCAACTTTTAAATTTCTTGTATTAATAAATAACAAACTAGTGGAGTAATTTTCCAAAAAAAAACCAATATCAATTGTGGTAAAACATCGTGGTGATAAACTTAACATTTTTTATAAAAACACCTAAATAATGCCTATTCACTATCGCCTTGAAAAGGCCCAAGTTGTAGGCAGGGAATTCCAGTCTATAGTCGTTCGTCATTCTATAATATATATAGAAAAACTTAGGTTTTTCTGAAGAAATTGCTATTTAGTTATTTTTAACCTACAATAAAGAATATTTTATACATTCATCAATTTTGTATAGAACAGCTATGGCCGTAGCATAGCGGTATGTGTTTTTTTATAATATCAAGTGCCGGGACGAACAAGTCGTGCACCTGATGGTAAGCCTGTCCATAACAGTTGCAGTGTCACTCAGAGCTTTAAATCGTAAATATCTGAATATGTGGGGCACTGCCACTGCGCCGGTCACCCTGAGATATAAGTTGACAAGTCCTATGTGCCTGTAATTTCACCAGCACCCTTACCCTTCAAAACCGGAACACAGTAACGCTGATATTACTGCTTGGCGGCAGAAATAGACAAGGTGGCAGTACTAACCTGGACGAACTCTTTCACTAGGAACTCTATTGCTACTAAATGATATGATAATCCTCCCCGTGACAATATATATTTCAGTTGATAAAGCTAAGTTTGCTTATTTGGCAATGAACTATCGTTATTGAAGAACTAGGACAACGATATGAAATTGCCTATATAGCTATCTTTGTCGTTTAATCATTGCCGCGAAAACGATGAAACATAAAATGTCGAGTTTTCGTAGTTTCTGTTTTTACAATATTTCAATTAGTTATTATTTACGTATTTCTAAATATTCTTAGTATTACATAATTTTCTCCTCACCTTGTTTCAATAATTTACATATGTATCAATTTGTTTAATTTTATTATTTATTTATCGCGTTCAGTTTTTACGTTGATAAAATTACTGTGCAGAACTGTCAAAATGTTTTAAAATCATCTGTGACCTTGCAGCCGTGTTTGGCACTGTGTTAATCTTTTGCACTCCATGGTCGCGGTCTTCGCGATAATATAAAAATGTGATAACACGATGCTCGCCATGTTAGGTATTGTGATAAGATTTTAAAATGGTTTATCACTCGAATTTGACAGCTAAATGTGGATATAAAAGCTTTATCGAGGTGGCATACTACGGGGGCTATTTCTGAGAGTTACGTATTTTACTATAGCCCCAACCGAATAAACCTGTATACTCAAAACACCAATAACTTGAATAACTGCACCAGAAGGATTTATTTTGAAAAATGTACGACGGAAAAAAATTAACTTGTGCTTTTACTTGTACTTAAATTTCCATGTCTCTCTTTTGGAGCCACACTCTTGACAGGTGTCCTGTTATACGCCATTCAGTCCTCTGCATAAATACGTACAGGTTCAAGAGCATTGCATATATGCAATAGCAGTGCAAGAGCAAGCTTGATACTTAACAATTAAATTCACCTTTATGCCGCTTGCGATATGGACGGACGGGTCAAAGTGTCAGGCTGTTGTGGTCTTGACTGTACAGTAGTATTTTAAGTGTGGAACGGGATTATAGTTATTATTCAGAAACTATGACACTGTAAAACTTGACTTTAAATAATACTCTTATATTTAAACTATTAAGGGAAACTTTTGATTGTCTTTAGAACTGTAAAATGATTATCATTTGTCTATTTCAGCTACGTGTTTTGGCTGGGCGATCTCAATTTCCGTACAGACTATCCATCAGAAAGTAGTCCAACCTCGGAAGAGATCGTGGCGCAACTGCAGAAAGTTGAGAAGGACAAATACACGAATCTACTAAAACATGACCAGCTGCTCGCAGTTATGGAAAGTGGAGAAGCGTTTTCGGAGTTTACGGAGCCAGAAATTCGATTCCCGCCTACGTACAAATTTAACGTTGGAACTGACGACTATGATGTTAAGTGAGTTTATTGAATGCTTCCTTATATATTAAAATAGAGCATAACATCTGCATGGTTTGCATATACAGGCTCTAACAGAAATGTGCGACATTATTTTCACTAATGATAATAAAGTGAGTTTAGCAAAAAAAAAGCAAGAAAAAATTATTAAGAAGCACTGTCAATCTGACATATAATCACCCTTAGCTCGAATGGACATAACAACAAAATCGATCTGTCTTTGTAGTAGTTTAATTAATTACTTTTCGTTAAAATTTTATGGGTCGTATTCCAGAACTCTACTCAATGCTCAAGTCAGGATTATTTGAGCAGACTTGAGTATGATTTCAAGCACTTGAAATACGACCCTAATGGCAAGGGCTTGAGTATGATTTTCAGTGCTCACTGCAATACTCAAGCCCTGACTTCAGTATTGAGCAGAGTTCTGGAATACGACCCTAAGTCTTCTTTCATCTGCGTCGTAAAGGACGAACGCTAGAGGAGAAGTACCAAATATCGGATACTTTTGTTTGAAAAATGTGAAAAAATACTAATCAACGCTTCAGAACTTTAAATTTAACCTTAAAATAGTCTTTATTTTAAGATCTATTAGAAATAATACAAATTCTTCATATTGTAACTAAATATTTTAAACTACATTACGTTTTATAAAAAAAGGGAAAATCAATGAACTTCAAAAGGTTGGCTAAAACGGGTTCCACGTACCCAAAAATATTTTTTGTGAATACGATATTAGGTGCCAATAATTATAATAAATGAAACTAATCAAACAATTTGTTAATATGTATTTATTAGCAATAATCAGACTTGTTCTCAATCTTTAATTGGGTAATTAGGAACTTAAACATAAAAAAAATTAACTTATACCTATTAGAGATCCTACAGGAACTTGAACATTCTTCAAAAAAAAAATGTAAATTCAAACATAAAAAAACTATTTTCAACTTATATATTAGATTGTTTCATAGAACATAAAAATATATTAATTGCATGTATGAAAAGCTTTAAAGTTCTCATTAAACAAAAGTATCCTAATATCAGATATCCAATATTAGGTTCGCA